CCAGCCCTCTGCCTTGAGAGGAGCCTTCCCTATCTGCCAGCACATCTCCACCCCAGAGTGATCCAATGGCTTTTGAGTCATATCACACGTCTCCACCTCTTTACTCATAGCTGCCCAGTCCGACTCCTTTGACCTGAATCAATTGACTCTCAGGAAGCCACATCCTTTTTCCTTCAAAAGAATGTCTGAAGTCCTCATTCTCATTCTCTGATGCCTTTCCAGTGGATCAGCTTCTTCTGGCCCCTGGCACCCACAGCTCTAACTCTAGACCAGACAGCAAGGCTCATTCCTGGTCTCGAGAGAAACCTACTGTGAGGTTCTCCCTTTCTGCTTATGAACTGCATTTCATGATTACTCAGTGCTCACGCCCAGGGTGGGTACCTGGATAAAGGTCTACTCTTTCCCTCTGTCACCTTCCCAGGCCCAGTTAAAGGCTCCCCCAGGCATGCTCACTCACAGGCTAACCCTGTGTATGGAGCAGCACGAAGCAAAGTTAATGATTATCTGTTTTTAGCAACGCTGTGTGTGCACATATGTGTGCTTGCTTCCCTTGTTGGCTTACTTCCGGGAGACTTGCAGGGAGGGACTCTGGGCCCCATGCAGATGGTACTTGACCAGATTTGAATGGCCCAGACAGAGAAGAGGATCAGGCCACTTCTCAGCTTGACAGCTTGGTGACCTTGGATAGGACACTATTGGGATCTTAGACACTGCAGTCCTACCCTTTCAGCTGAGCTATCCAGTGAGGTGGTGCAGAGTTCTTTAGACAGGAGGAAGAACTCAACTGTGCCTGTTTGGTGGGTGCTGCAGAAGCAGGGAGAGGAAGTACAGACGCTGGGAACACACTTCACTGATGACTGCACAGATGCCCTTGCTGGGCACCTCTGTCATAGTGATTTAGAATTATCCTGATGGTTTTGTCAAGACAGGGCTGGGGAGTTGGCTCAGAGGTTAAGAGCACTGGCTGCTCTTCCAGAGGTCCTGAGTTCAATTCCCAGCAACCACATGGTGGCTCATAACCATCTATAATGAGATCTGGCGCCCTCTCTCATGTGCAGGCACACAATTGTATACATAATAAATAAACCTTAAAAACAAAAGCAAAATCCTTGGATTCAGGGTATCCCAGCCCTAAACCCAGTTGGCTTGACGTTGTTTTGATATGCTATTGGAGACCGTCTCCTCAAAACTGGGAAACCCTCTGCTTGAGCCCAAGTGTTGAGGTAGTTAAATGTGAGCCACCATGCCTGCTTGGTTTCTCTGTGTTTAGAGACATGAAGATCTAGGAGCTGACCTAGTAATTCATGGCCCTCAGGTGCTTGGTGTCATTGCATTGTCCTACTGTATCCAGCATGGAAGAGAGCAAAATGAACCTTGCCCACTGGGAGTGTAGTGGTCAGTGCCGCGTCCTCTCTTTGCTCCACTCACTTACTAAAGATCACCTGGCCTTCCCCATAAACATAGGTAGCCGGTGGTGTGGCTCATGCTTGTTAAGTGAATGTTACCTGGTGTGTTCCTGAGCGTTGCTGTCTGCTGTCCCTTTATCCTATTTATAGCTGGGTGTTTAACTTTGGTCTTCTTTTAATTATGACTGGTAAAAAGTTACCTAAAAACACTAATCAAAGATACCAGGTGAGGGGGCTAGAGAGATGGCTCAGCGGTTAAGAGCACTGTCTGCTCTTCCAGAGGACCTGAGTTCAATTCCCAGCACTCACATGGTGGCTCACAACCATCTATAATGAGATCTGGTGCCCTCTTCTGGTGTGCAGATGTACATGAAGACAGAGCACTCATATACATAAAATAAGTAAATAAAAGTTGGGTGGTCTCCTGGGATCCAGTGTGAACATTTGCATATGTAGCTCCACATCCTTTTACACATCTCTTTGTTTAGAAGGATTAGGGAAGTTATTTCATACAGCACTTGGAATGGTAAATGTCTGACTGTTGGGGTGAATGTTGAGAGGAAGTCAATATAGACAGAGGAAAGTGCATTGTGGGATGTGGGTTAGGCACAGAGGTGTACAAGACAAGTAGGAAGAAGTTGGAAATCTTCATGAGAAAGTCACAGTGGTGGAAGACCCTGTTGCCCTCCTGTTTCATACCTCCTCAGCACCTAGAAGCCATAACAGGTCTTGAAGAGTAAGTCTGTGGTGGCAGCCTCTGGGATCATCCTCCAAACCTGCTGAGCTTTCCCTGAAACATCAAAAAGACTTTCCCTTGAGTGAATGTGCTCGCCAGCTTCCACCCTGGCCCCACCCACTGGAACAGGAAACTGAAACATGTTACAACAGCCCTCCCATTCAGTTCTCTCCTCTCTGCCTCCTGTTAGTGTCCACTCCTGTACTTACGGAAACCTTGGTTGAGGAGAAATTCTGGTGCCCACTTTTAGGCTCCCAAAAGGCCTAGCAAAAGCCTTTCTAAATCCTTGCTTTTGCCTAACATCCTCGGCCGCTGTGACCCAAATAAACATCATCATGTGAGGCCTGTAAGGCTGTTTGTTTTAACTAGCAAGCATCTCAACTAAGCTCTGGAGCAGATGGGCTATTGGGGCAAGGGAAAGGCCAACATTCAAGTCTGTATTCACCCCACTTTCGCTTCCTCTCCCCTGAGAGAAAAGAGATGCTTTCAGAATAATGCTCAGGAAAGTAATTTCTTTTTGTCACAGAACTGGTTCCTCACAAGAGGCTTTGGACTCTAGAAAAGCCTCCAAGGTTGTATGAGTGCCGCGGCCTCTTGAGGAAGCTAGACAGAGTGAAGGCTATGGTGCTGGCTCCATGCAAAAATGGCAGCACCATCTCAGGCCTTCCACACCAGCATCTGTATCATACCCATTTTCTGTAGTCTGAGTAGGTCAGACCACCCCCGAAGCTGGTAGCTGGCACTAGGAAGGAAACAAGGTTAGCGTGTGCGCCCCTATGATCTGCCTAGGAAAAGGCTTCTTACCTTGCAGAGACCTGGACTCTCAGGGTCTACCTTCCTTTGCTTCAGCTTCGTAAAGTCAGTGACACCAGACATTTGTGTAAGGGCTATTCATGCTCAGCTCCACTGCTACAAACAGTTGAATGTACAAGGTCAACGGCTCCATTCCGCTGTGCGGGGCGCCTGTCTTTCCCTCGGATTAACCTCCGGGGGAAGAGAGAGGCCATCCTCTTTTGAACTGCACCCTGGCTGTCCTTCCATCAGCCCCTGAAGTAGGCACATACTCTTAAGTGGGGATAGGGCTTGTCAAGGCTGCCTGCCTCTAAGGTCTTAAGGTTTGTTTTCTGATGTTGTGCAATGGAGCCCAAGGTCCTGAAAGCACCGTCATGTCTCCACTTTCCCTGCACTGGTTAACCAAGGAGGTTGAGGTATTAACAGGCAAAGATGCCTCGCACTGGGACAGGAGATTAGGATCGGGTGCATGGTGTCCATGATATTCCAGTGTTTTTCAATGTTAAATGTATTAATGGAGAATGTGTCGCTTCCACCAAATAGGCCGAACCGGTTACGGGTTTACGGCATTCCTAATCGATGATATGTAACTGCTCAGACCCCTTCCTGACCGCAGTTTGATAGTCCTTCACGTTTTCGGGGACTGGAGGCGGTACGAATCCATTTGGCGGTGAGAGAAGTCTGGACTCAGCCCTGACTTCGAGGAGTTGCTCATGGAGCAAGGAGCAGTTGGAATCGTCCTTTTACTTGGGCCTCAGTTTTCTTATCTGCAAAGTGCAATAATTTGGGCAAGCTGGTTTCGGAGACCTTTGTGATTGTACCTAGGTAAGGTCCTAAGCCCTGGAGCCAGGATAAAGGCTGGCCGGCGAGCCTAGGAGCGAGCGCGGTTCCAGCCCAGCTCAGCCAGGGACCCCACCCCGCGCCCAGCGGTCAGTCTGGGTAGTGCGCCGCTTCCGCCCTCCACGTTGTTGTTCCTGGTTTAGGCCACACCTCCTTGGCCTGGGCTGTGGACGCTTCGCGTTTTGACCACTGCTGTTCGGGCCCCACCACGAAGGGTGTCTTCTGGAGTGGCACATTTTCAGTCCCCTCCCATGGCAGACACGGGTGGACAAAGAATTTAGGGGACGGGAAGGAAGGCTTGGTTTTGAATGGGCGGGCCATGTGAAGCAGGGGATGGGCCTGAGCACGACTGCGGAATTCCCCGGTAGGTGTCTGGCCCTCCGTCCACCCGGTGGCCTATCCGCACCCGCTCCTACAGCCCCGCAGACACTGGCCCTTTAAAAGGAAGGCTGGCGGCGCGGGGTGTCCATGTGGAGCTGCTCCATGCCGTGTTGTCCTGCCTGCCCATTGGTGGGCGGCCCGGTGATGTAGCCTAATAGGATGCGAACGCACTGCGGGGGGAGGAGCGGCGGCAAAACCCGGAGCCGGACCGGCGCGCCGCCCCTGTCAGGACTCGGCGGCCGCGCCGTCAGCCCCGCCCAGGGGCGGATCCCGGGGGGGATTGCGACAGAGCGGGCGGCTGCGGGGCTCGGGTCGCGTCTGCGCGGGGCGTGGAGCGCGGGGGTCGGACCGCGGGTCCCCGGAGCCGGCCGTGGGCGCCCCGCGCGCGCGGGCCCCGGTGACGCGCGGCTGGCCGCGGAGGGCTG